TGGAGCCCAGGAGACTTTCTCATCTTCACAGTAGAGGAAAGTGTGGTTGGGACTCAGTAGAGAAGGTCTTCAGTACCGTGGCCTAATATTTTCGTGGGTTTCTTTTATTACTGATTTCATTTCTTTTCGTTTAATATTTCATTTATTGCTTGAACAAACTCTGTTGGTAGCTGCCTACTCAGCATCTCCCTCCCTCGTCAGGATTTAGGACAAGTTTAGAAATTGGCAACTAAGCAAATAGGCAGAAATTAATAAAAGTCATATGATGTCATTAGATAGCTCAAAGGTTCCTGGTTTCCAATTAAATAAGGCAGGTGGTTAGAGCAATTATATAAGGTACACAAATTATGTGAGGGACCCCAATTATGCGAGGTTCATGGATAGGTACTGTGCCGAGGACGACACTGAACTTGCACAAAATGTCATGAGATGCAAGCAGGAAGGCAGGGTGATCCGATGGGAAAGGAAAGCACAGTAAGCAAACTATGAGGAGTTTTACTCCTGAACCATTATGTGTCAGGAAAAGCCCCCAGAAAACTGGAAGAACATTGCCTTCCATCTGTCTTTCCATGATGGCCTGGAAGCACCAACTGCACCTTCAACAGTTGAGCACTGGTGTGGAAATTATGCTGTTGTATGGGAAATGACCTGGACTCTCAATTCAAGAGAAATGTCATTTGCCTTGCACAATAATGGAAACCACTGGAAGAGACACGGTGCTTTCGGGCAAAGGATTTGATGCTTCTTAAATGACTACTGTGTTCTTTAACTTTCCAGGAAATCAAGGATCCCTATGTCTTTGAGGGAGAGTGGGGTGTGGAAACGGGGAAAGGAGGAAGGGAGGGGGGATGATTGAGAGTGCAAGGACATCAAGTGGCACCATCCAGAGGCTCTACACGTCAGACCTACGTAAATAAGATCCCTTTGTGCCTGTTTGTTTCCACATCGCATGAAATGCCTGCATGGATTTCCTCCAAATATAGAAAGTGTATTTGGGGTGGTCGGTTAAGATAGCAATGATGTGTGGTACATACAATTTCACTCAGGGGAGTTACAGGGGGATCCCAGGGAAATAGACAGTCATCCTCCTGAGCAGTGGGTAGTAATCAGAGGACCTTTGTCATGATCTCTCGATAAAGAAATGCCAAACATAATGAGACACCACAAACCGAGAAAACAAACAGTAGTTCCAAATATGAATCCCGATTTAGTGTCCTAACAGTAGACCATCAGCATTACAGCCCATGATTTATGACTTAGAGCCTCCTGCCATGGGCATTTCTACATGGCTGCAGGCACTGGTTGATTTAAAGACGGTTAATGGTTGTCCAGCATAATCCAGAGACTACAGTCAGTGGTGAAATACACCCCCAAACACCAATGATGGCCCCGTCAGAAGCCACCCATACTCCATGGTCATTGTCGTTTCTTTGGTAATCAAACACCTCATGTCTGCATTAGGTGTCCTCTTGCAGGACATGGGTCGGGATCTCCAGAAGAAGTGAGATTCCAGCCAGCAGGAAAGTGTATCTGGTATGTGCACTGGATTCTCTGGGACGCAACCAGCCTTTGTCACTGCTGCATCCTTGGAGCCCAGGACAATGCTTAGCTCCCAGTGGGCACTCAGTATAAAGCTGTCAATTGACCATCCTTGGAGACCTCATCCTGTGTTCTAAAGCTCTTCACTGATTGCTGTAGTAATCCACAGCAGCTAACATTTATTGGAGGCTTATTTTGTCCCAAACACCACGCTAAACACTCTACTGAAATGTCAGTCAGATGTCAAAAACCCTACTGGCATGATGAGACTATGATCATAATTTGTATCCTACTACAAGGAAACTAAGGCACCAGAAGATTCTAGAACATGTCTAGTACCCCCTGCTGGTTGGTGGCAGGACTGGAATTTGAACTCAGATCTGCCAGACGCGTTGTTTGGAAATGCCTCACTATGATGTTTCATTTTTATTTTCATGCTGGGCATCCAGAAGCACACAGAAACCCCAAATGCTCCTTCTGCGCAGGGGGGCAGGACGGAAGGGGAAGGAAGGGCCTTTGAAATGCCCTCTGGCAGCTTCATTTGAGCGCCCACACATTCGCTCATTCTGAAGTCTGAAAGTCATTTTGGGGCTAGAGCCCTGCACCAGGTACCAGAGAGAGAGAAAGATGCATAAGATGCATAGTTTCTGGTTCCCGCTCTCCAGGGGTCCCAAGCTGGCCTCCGGGGGCAGATGAAGAGATGAGAATGTCCATAGAACTTAGCATTGAAATAAGCTACGGAACACGGCCAAGGGGACACCCGCAAGCTCGGAGCTGAGCAGGGTGTGGAGATGTCGCACACTGCCCTCCAGCAGCTCCCAACCTGTCTGTCCCCAAACAGACTAGGAGCTGGGCAGTCCGCACTTGAGCCCAATGGCAGGGTCGAGACCAAATGTGTTAGAGGCGTGCAGGGCGTGTGAGATCATTGTGAGTTGAGGTCATTGCCATTCTCAGGGAGATGAAAGCAAAATCAGCCCTGACAGATGCTCGAGTGTCCCTGTCATTTCTAAGTATTTCCCTGGAAATGGTTATTTGGAAGAAATGAGATGGTAATGCTTGCCGTGGCCACATCTGTACAGCAGTCCTAGGCTGAGGACACCCCAGGACTGCCTCTGAGCGTCCATGGTTCCACTTTGGTTTAGGACACCTCGGAAGAAGGTCATCTCGGTAAGGGGTGCACGGGGCTGGATGTGGTTAGTGGCTGCGGATTGCTGAGGTTCAGGAAAGTCGGCTAAGCTTCTTGAATGTGGCTCTGATTTTGAATAACACATACGAACTGCTTTAACACTCCAAAGGGAAACTTCTAGTGCAAATAGTCTGGAGATCTTTTTCCAGAAGGGCCACAAGGGCATGCCCACTTCTCAGAGCTCTGACCAAGGCTCTGGGGAGCTCTTCCATCCTTTACTGGACCAATTTTCCAAAGTGCTCTCTAATTAATGCCTCCCAGAAGAGATCCTCTCCTTGTCACCAAGAAGAGAAAAATAAAAGCATTCCTGCAACAGTTTTGTACCTTGGGCAGAGCGGAATCATCTTTAGCCAGCTCAAATAAAGGGCCATGATGTGAGTAAGCATAGAACCCAATATTTTACAGCACGGCCCATCAAAGGGTGTCCAACACCTTAAAGTGCAGAAGCAGAGCTGACTTAGAGTCTGCAGCAGATGATACTGCTCTGAACAGCACAGTTTGGGGTTTTGTTTTCCAGGGGAATTTTTGCAAGATAATAGCTGGTTTACTGTGTGTGGCACCTGCCACAGATCCTCTCAGATATAATCACTTTCCACACAGTGCATGGATTTATTTATCCACTCACCAAATATCTATTGAACACCTCCCAAATGCAAAATTCTTGGATAGAGATGCTGGAGAAAAAAAGACAAAGTCCCTGCCCTCATGGAGCTTGCATTATTATAAGGGAGACAGGCACAAATAAAATAAGAAGGTATATTTGTTAAATATCTCATGATTTGTGATGGACGCCATGCAAAAAAAAAGAAAGAAATAGAAACAAGAAGTGATTAATATTAAGGACAGGGTATATTTTTGGATTCAGGCTCAAGAAAGCCCTTTCTGCAAAGGGAACCTTTGTATTGCATCCAGAAAGGAGCCAGCTTTGCAAAGGGCAGGGGAAGATCTTTCCAGTATGAGGAATAGCTTGTGCAAATGTCCTGGGGCAGGAGGAGGGAGCACAGCTGACTTGCGGGATCTGAAGGAGAAGCAGTGGGGCTGCATTATAACCAGTGAGAGAGAAGAGCCTGGAGGAGTGGGCAGAAGCCAAGCCAGGGGCTCCACGCTCTGAAGGTGGCTTCTCCGCTCCAATCTTCGGCTTGGTTTCACTTAGTAACCTGACACAACAGACCGGTGCCTGACTCCTCCTCCCACTCTCCCCCACTTGGCACTCCAGGAACACTATCTCGCGGCTTATAAAGAAAAACCAACACACTCCAGCCACCCTCTGCTTTGTTCCAGCAGCTTCGACGGGACGAAGAAGCAGGCCCCATGAAAAGAGCGTGGGTGATGTTCCCCTAGTGTGCGTGCTCTTCCCACCCCATCGAGCCAGCCCGGGGTGGCTGCACTCAGTATGCTGCCACGGTCGTTGATAATAATTGTTGCATTAATTGGTGCTGTCCGGACCAGACAGAAACGTAAAAGATCCCACTGTGTCCAATAATTAATGTTTTTCCCTCACTGCAACGCCATTAATAAGGGGCTCTTCCAAGAAACGAGTAATTGGCTGGTTGGGCGTCATTAGGGTATTTATAGATAAGCTTTGGTCTGAAGACATAGAGGAAAGCTGATTATGTTTATTTAGACTCTATTATCTATCGCTAATGTGTTATCCTGCGTTCCGATCATCCCCATTCTCTGGGTCCTAATGATACAGGGCACAGTCACGATGTGATTTCAGGGACCTGCAACATGGCTTTATCTCCGCTGCAAGGGAGAGTGGGGGACAGAGGGGGCAGCTGTTCACAGGTCCTGCTGGCGCCCACTCATCCGCTGCAAACCTTCTCTTTCCGCTGAGAAATTTAGAGCAGGGCTCATGGAAGTACTGGAAAGACAGTTTCTCCTAATTAAACCTCAAAGGAGTGGAAGTTTCTTGGGCCTGTGATTATCTGAAGGGTTTTTGAAAATGTAAATCTGGTTGGGGAAACATTGCTTGGAAAAACAGAGGGAGGAACAGGCAGCCTGGATTGGAGATATCTCTGCGGTAGCAAGCAGTGAAGTCTGAGCGCCCCTAACACCTGGCCCAAATACTCGTCTTACCAGATAAGCACACACGCTTCCAAGTGGACGTGGTGGCCCGTGGGGCTGCTTTTTCTCCAGGGAGGCTTTGATCCACTTGTCCTTCGCTAGAATTTTTAGAAAAGATTCCTTGTGCTGTTTTTTAAAAAGTAGATGGGCACAACAGTGTGAACGTACTTAATGTCATTGGACTGTACAGTGAAAAATGTTTTAAAAAGTGCTCGTTTTGGCAGCACATACACTAAAACTGGAATGATAGAGACGATGAGCATGGTCCCTGCGTAAGGATGACGTGCGAATTCGTGAAGCCTTCCAGATTTTTGAGTATCTTCATGGTTACAAGGAAAGGATTGAATTTTCCTTCATCAAAACTAGCTTTCTTGCACAAATAAATGATCAAGTTAAACTTCAAAAAATGAGTAAAACAGTAAATTTTATTATATATATATTAAGCTTTGATCTGAAGACAGAGAGGAAAGCTGATTATGTTTATTTAGACTCTATTATCTATTGCTAATGTGTTATCCTGCGTTCTGATCATCCCCATTCTCTGGGGAGATATATATATATATCCTAATATATCCATATATATGCCACAATGAAAAACATTACTAGGAGAATAAATAGGGTAATATAATTTATAAGTAGAATTTGAAAGCATAAGGAAGGACTGTAATGTATCTAACACTAATTTTGGAAACCAAATACTTCTAGATGGTCTCTTCTGCAATTGAAACTACCCTTACATTAATATTCAAAAAAGCCTTCCATTAACAACAAAAACCCAAGACAATTATTTTGCCAGTTGACTGAGCTGGACTTTATGGGATGGAAGAGTGAACTCAACCTTTATTCTTTTTTACCACTTCCTGTTAAACTTGCTCTGTGGACAGCTCTCTATTCATTCCTGGCTGTGATCCCACATGGGTTCCATAGCTTTTTGTGACTTATCAAATAAAGAACCCAGATCTATCCAATAATAAAAAAAATGTATTTCTTGGGACACCTGGGTGGCTCAGTGGTTGAGCATCTGCCTTTGACTCAGGTTGTGATTCCGGGGTCCTGGGATCGAGTCCCACATGGGGCTCCCCACAGGGAGCCTGCTTCTCCCTCTGCCTGTGTCTCTACCTCTCTCCGTGTGTCTCTCATGAATAAATAAATAAATAAGAAATCTTGAAAAAAAGTATACCTCGATGCATATGTGCATCTACATGCTATACACGTATGATGTGCTCTATACCTCATACTCACATGTCTCAAGACACGGTGAGAGTCTAGAGACCTGAGTTCAAGCTCACGTTTGGCCCGTGCATGGCTTGTAAAGGCGGAAAAGGACGCATAATGCCATTTCTGCACCTGTGAGACGGGGGTGCTGCAAACGCACACTTGGTCTTTGAAAGGTGTGGGATGACATCTCTGGAGCGAGGGGCAGAGGAGGGGCCCTGCAAATATCCATCTCTCCCCATCTGACCTTGTATATTCGAAAGCATCTGACCCTCACAATCCTCCACATCCTCCCCCATGCTGTCTCCTCTGGGAAGAAAGAGCTCAGAAACACTGACCTGCCTCTGGTCTTGAAAGAAGCTCCCAGAGAGCTGACCTGTACACGCACGTGTGATGTAACTTTGCAAATTAAGTGTGTAATGCTTTTAGAAAATCGATGCCCTTTCCTCTCCTGCTCCCCACCACTGGGACCAGGTAATTTGTGGGCACATCTGTTGCAGGTGTTGGGGAATACTCTTGGAGATATTCTTAGATCCTGGCCTGGGGTCTAAAGGTTGGGAAGCTGGCTCCTGGGACCCAGTGATGCCTGTGGCATCAGAGTAACAGGAGGGGGAAGGCCTGGGAGCCGGACTGGGCCTGGGCAGGTGGCCAAGGTGAGTGGGTGGATCAGCAAACAGACAAGCCAGAAAAGACCAGGAGGGCCACCAGGGGCAGGAAGAGGAGACAGGCACCACAACCCAAACACATATATACACCGTATTTACCAGATACCGCTTACCAGATATTCCATGGCCAGGCAAGCCACTTAACCCCGCTTGGCCAGAGCATTCTCACTTGTAAGGAGGAGCGAGGCCTGCTAAGCAACCAGGCTGAGGTTGTTTTGGCTGGTAGCACTTTAATTTACAGATTGTCTTCTGGGCACCCTTGGTGTGCCACGTGCTGGAGGGAGAGCCTGCAGGATCAAAGAGAAAAAGAGGACGTGTAATCGGCACCCTTGCCTCAAAGAACCCATCGCTCTTCCTACAATCCTGCCATGGCTCATTTTTCTTAGCACAAAATCCAAACTCACATTCAGGATCCACACAAAACTTTGGGATCCAGCCTTGGGGCTTCCATCAGGCAATATTTTGTAATGCTTCTCTGCTAGCCTGAGACAAAATTCAGAGGTGGTATGGTGTTTCTGTACATTAAAACATTGATTGATGTCTTAATCAACATAATGCCTTAACTGTAATATAAAGGTGGGAAAGGAGGAAGTAATTTGTAACAAAACAATGTGCATTTCAATAGGTAGATTCCCTGGCATGACGTCACTAATCAACATAAGGACATGCCTTTGTGTGTAAAGTCACAGTAAATGCCACAGCTGCAAACACACATGACAGCAGGGGTGTTGTTCGGGTGACTTGAATGCCAAAAGTGATGTTGCCGTGGGTGACATGATTTTCCTTACATGGAGGACACCACTTGGTAATGTTCCCAAAAAACCACAGTGCGATCTTCCTTTAATTTATATGGTAGATCCATTCTTAGACAATTCAATGTATAACTGATTCTGTGCTAAAGTGATCTTCAGTTTATATAAATAGGAGAGTTAAGTCCAGGGCAAGGACATTAGAAATCGGCTTTCCACCTCCATGAATATCCATGAGGACACCCCAAAGTCACGCAGGACCCAGGACAGCCCACTACTGTGTCAAATTGTTCCATGCACTGCTTGATGTCTTGCATCCTTGGTGCCTGAATTTATGGCACGCTCCCTGCAAATATCCCAAACCAACTCAAGGGCAATATCGTCCCCTTGGGAATCACTGATCTGGCCCCTGCCTACCTCTCCAACATTGGCCTTGTCCTACTCTCTCCTTGCTCACTTCATTTCCAGCCACACAAGTTCTTGTCCATTCCCCACACACATCAAAGGCCTTTGCACATGCTGTTCCCTCGCCCGGGAACGCTCTTCCCTAGCAACTCACATAGTGGCCTTCTCACCCTTTATCTCTCAGCTCACAAAACATCTCCAGCTTTCCTAGCCACCCTATTTATACAGTAACTCATGCATCCCCAGGCCTGCCAGGCTCAATCATATTACCCTGTTCTTTCTTGTCTCTCAAACATCATGCCAGAATGATCTTTTTCTAGGGGTCTTTCTCACTAGACTGGGGTCAGCAACCCTTTCTGGAAAGGTCCAGAGAGCAAGTATCTTAGGCTCTGCAGGCCATATGGTCTCTGTTACAGCAACTCCATTCTGTCACTGTAGCTCAAAAGCAGCCACAGACCACGTATGAACAAAAGGATATGGCCGGGCACCAATAAAACTTTATTTACAAGAACAGGTGGCAGTTGGGTCCGGTCCATGGGCAGCAGTTTGCCAACCCCAACACGAGACTATAAGCTCCTTGTTTGTCCAGTTTACTCTTGAATTCCTTGGGTCTAGCACACGGTGGGGAAAGTGGTAAGAGGTGAATGAGTGTGTGTTGAAGAAATGTGCTTATTGTCCAGCTAGAATGAGGAACCACCAGAAAACACAAGAAACACCTTCCAATTCTTAGCAGCGAGGGAAGCATTTACACATTGGTCACACATCTAGCACTATGAGGGTCTTGATAAGGAAGGGAAGGAGTGAGAACCAGGGCTTCCTGGTGGAAGTGACTCTGAACAGCAGCTGAAGGCAGGCTGCAATGTGGACCATGGTAGTCGTGGCACTCACTTATTCAATCATCAATTCATTCCCTCACTGGAGGGACTTGCAATGAGCATCATTATCAGGTGCAGATTAACACAAAGATGTCCACCAAGTGCTACCAAGGAAGGAGAAGACTTTGATCCTATTGCCAGCGCAATCTAGAGATTCCAAGGACTCTGTGGCCCGGTCACATTTCTGGGTACCTGATGCGTAGGAGAGACCAAGGTCACATCTGAGTATGGCTCAGTTGTGCCATGATTGGGTCATGATCCCACCAACCAGCCACACTGGCCAGCCCCACTGGGGCATGCTTGGGAAATCAGTGTGCACCTGTCTTCAGCATCCCCCCAAACCCAAACCCTCACCCTCCAACCCCACCCCAGCCCGAGGCCCTTCCTCACCCCGATCACAGCCTGCTCTTGGGCCCTCCATCACCCAGTGGCATAATCATATGCTCTTCCCAGGAAGGGGTGCCCTAATTGTGGGCACATGCTGGGGTAGATGCTGGGGGCGATTTTGAGCAGTGGTGCCCCTGGGCCATCAGAACACCATGACACACCCACTAGGCAGTCCAGGTATTTGGGGAGGGATATTTCAGCAGCAGGATGGGTACCTGGAAACCACGAGTGACAAGGTTTTGATCTTTTAAGGAGCTATTGGAAATTCTTTTCCCCCAAAAAGAATCAAGGTTTACCCCATTCTTTCCTTTTGGTTTCTTCCCTCCAAAGCCAGAGGCCTTGGACTTCCTGCAAATCTCATCACTGCTTTTACTTCTCTCGTTGCCTTGGCTTCTCAGAAACCCAGAGCCAAATGCATAGCCCAAGGTGTCCAGGCCCTACCGGGGATGTGCAGCATCGTTCACCTTCAGTAGAATGGATTTTGCTGCCGAATTTCCCTTTCCCTGGGATTTCTCATCTGCTCTTGAAGCTGTAATAGACACACATTTGTAGGGCAACTCAAGTCCCTTCAGAGGTGAGCCCGGTGTCTTACTTCTGCATAAGGAAAAAAAAATGCAGAATGTTCCCCCTATCTCTCCACCCCCTCTAACTCCAAACCCACTTTATGAATATGGAGCTTCATTATTTTGAAGGGTAGTTTAATTTAAACCCAAATTATCGTTAGCATTTCATAAGTAATACAATCATTTTCTACCTGCTAATGAGGAGTAAAAATAAATGTATTTCTCAACATAGCATTGATACCTCGCGGTAAAAACAAACAAGAAAAAACACTTCACGTAGGAACTGGAGGGCATGATCTTCTTCTTACCTCAACCTCCTCGGATCTGCGCCCTCGTGGTGACCCTGACTTATTGTGTGACACGGGGCAGCCCTGTAGCACTTCTGTAAGGAACCCCCCGAGAACTGGGGCCACGGCCCAGAAGCTACTAAGTGTCACAGTGAAAAAATCCACAAAGGGTTGCACTTAATGGAGTGACCAAGAGCCGGGCTTTGGGATTGGACAACCCCTCATGCATCCTTTGTTTGTTGGCCCATTCAGCAAATCAAGAACCTTTCGGGTCAGGCACTGTGCTGAGTAAGGGGTAGCAGCGGACAAGACAAAGAAGGTTCCTGCCCCACCCCCACCCCTGACCTACCCTGACAGCACAGGTAAGCAAGGGAGTTACCAAGTGAACAAGGTCATTCCAAACTGTGCTAACGTAACGATGAACAGAGGGGGAGGAGGATACGGTCATATTAAGAAAGGCCTTTGAGAGGAGGTGATGTCTGAGCTGGCCACAGAAAGGGCAGGGGAAGCATAAGGCAAAGAAACAACACAACAGGTAAGAATGCAGACCTGGAAGACGCAGGAGTGTAAAGGCCCATGAGGATGCCTGCCTCCACCTGAGGTTTTAGGATGGAAAGGCAGTTTCTAGGATTCTTCAGAGTCCCTGCCCATGTACCTGCGGGGACAACCCAATGTCACTCCTCTCGCACAAGAGAGAGAAGAGGACCAGACAGTGGTCCTGACTGTGGGAGACCCGAAACAAAGAGCAAATAAGAAGTAGGGGTAAAAAATGAGCCAAAAAAAAAAAAAATGAGCCAAGAACCTCCTTCTTCTAAAACAAACCAGTGGCGCTTGTGCAAGTGGCCTCTGCTGGGCTGTGCGACACCCAGGGGTGGCTGTCAGCCAGGGCCTTCGATCGCAAGGGTCTGGTCCCTTCCAGACCTCTCTGAAGACCCCAGCCCCCCCCCCAACCCCCCGCCCCAGACCACGCCGGAGCCCCTGGGTCCTTCACGGCGTCTAGAGGGCCATGCTGGGCATCGCCAATGATCTTTGATCAGCTGATGAGCTAAAGCTTCTCCTGTGGGCTCCTGTCTCCAGATAACGTGGTCCTGGGCCTGCCTCGGAACAGACACGGACCCACCCGATAAGCAGCAGGGGCTTCCCGCCCCCTCCACGAGTGGGAGGCGCTGCCAAACCCTGCAGAAGACAGTCCCCCGTGCCACCAGGCCGGGGGCGCTCATCCGGGGTGGGCTGGCGACATCTGAGCGCCAGGATCACACCGTGACAAGCGGAGAAGGCACAAAACGCTACCTCGTCACCTTTTTAATGAGTACAATCCTCTGGCTGCTGCCGGGGCCCTGGGAGAGCTGCTATTAATGAGCGCTTAGAATAGACGGTCCTGTTTTATCCACGTATGGCGGCCTGGGAGAGACACTTCAATTTCCATTTTACATCTGCTGCCACGTTCAAGTGTCTCCTTAAGGGCAGGAAAACACTTGGCAAATTCTGTCTTTAAAGAGACACGTTCAAAGAGAGCATTCCCTCCCCACAGCCACATTCTATATGTGAACGCTTTTCAATTTGCAAAGCATATATTTAGATTATGTATATGGAAGCCCAGGAGGCCGCAGGGCCGCAGCTGCACGCACGGCTCCCCCTGCCCCTTGGGGCTGGAGAAGAGGGCTTCTGGTGTGGTCCTTGATTTGGTGGCTTCACTCACTGACAGGGGACCAGGACAGCCTCTGTTTTGTTCCCATTTCTGCACCTTGGTCCTAGCCAGCAGTCGCTGTGGGGCCTGACATGGTGAGTACCATGGTTTCCAGGGGGAAGGGGGCTGGCCCCAGGGAGTGGGAGTAAGCCACATGGGGCCCAGAAAGGAGGGGTCACTCCCCCACCCCCAGTCCCCAAGGGGGCTGGGGGATGGGGCTAGACTCCGCCAGGGGTCTTCCCAAGACTACAGGAGCACCTTGAGGGGAGGAGGATGGAGGAGGAAGGAGGAGGATGGAGGAGGAGGATGGAGGAAGAGGATGGAGGAGGGAGGA